GAGCATCCGTTGAAGTTAGGTCCGAGGTTGAACTGCTGAATTACGGGCTGAGGAGACACATCTGAAAGTAGTTTAGAGTTCAGGACGTTGTTCTTGTGAGTGGAATATCAAACTCTATAATCAGGAAAATCAGACTTGAAAGGGTTCACAAAATTAATCGTATATTGTAATTAAATTAGTTCAATATTATAATTAAAGAACTAACGACTGCATCGAATTACAGGTAGGGATCTCCTATCTCGGTGGAGATGGTTCGGCAACTTGGTCGTTTAGCTCCGGACAGTCTATGCAACGTCTATGCAACGTCCGTGCAACAACAAAAGAACCGTCTATGCAACGTCTATGCATCGTCCCTGCACAATGAACACTCTATGCACACTCCCTGCACGGTCAGTCTATGCAACGTCTATGCAACGTCTATGCAACGTCTATGCAACGTCCCTGCACAGTACCATATGAACACCGGCTACTAGCCGGCTACTAGCCGGCTAGTAGCCACTTTTGTAATAACAGCTCCTCAACTTCACATTACCAACCGGCTACTAACCGGCACTTGAAAAGTGGTCACTAGCCGGCTACTAACCGGTTACTAGCCGGCTAGTGACCACAAAGTGGCTACTAACCGGCTACTAAGCGGTCACTAGCCGGCTATTAGCCGAGCTCTAAAGCAGACCTACTAGTAGCCGGTTCCAAACCGGCTACTAGCCGGCACTTAGAAAGCGGTCACTAGCCGGCTACTAACCGGCTACTAACCGGCTAGTAACCACCAAGTGGCTACTAACCGGCTACTAACCGGTCACTAGCCGGCTCTTAAGCGGACCTACTAGCCGGCACTCGAAAAGCGGTCGCTAGCCGGCTACTAACCGGCTACTAACCGGCTAGTAACCACCAAGTGGCTACTAACCGGCTACTAACCGGTCACTAGCCGGCTATTAGCCGAGCTCTAAAGCAGACCTACTAGTAGCCGGTTTAGAACCGGCTACTAATAGGTCTGCTTTAGAGCCGGCTAGTGACCGGTTAGTAGCCGGTTAGTAGCCACTTGGTGGTTACTAGCCGGTTAGTAGCCGGCTAGTGACCGCTTTTCAAGTGCCGGCTAGTAGCCGGTTTAGAACCGGCTACTAATAGGTCTGCTTTAGAGCTCGGCTAATAGCCGGCTAGTGACCGCTTAGTAGCCGGTTAGTAGCCACTTTGTGGTCACTAGCCGGCTAGTAGCCGGTTAGCAGCCGGCTAGTGACCACTTTTCAAGTGCCGGTTAGTAGCCGGTTGTTAATGTGAAGTTGAGGAGCTGTTATTACAAAAGTGGCTACTAGCCGGCTAGTAGCCGGCTAGTAGCCGGTGTTCATATGGTACTGTGCAGGGACGTTGCATAGACGTTGCATAGACGTTGCATAGACTGACCGTGCAGGGAGTGTGCATAGAGTGTTCATTGTGCAGGGACGATGCATAGACGTTGCATAGACGGTTCTTTTGTTGTTGCACGGACGTTGCATAGACGTTGCATAGACTGTCCGGAGCTAAACGACCAACTTCCCGATGGTTCCACGACCAAACCCCCGTCCTTTTGTTGTGCGAACACCTAGGTAAGACGCAGGTTGGAACGTTCATACATCTTAATTAGTTAATTATATTATAGCGAACAAACAAATTTGTTTATTACTAATTTCAATTGAACATGATCGCGAACAATCTACCAAAATTGGCGAACTGGGCATGACATGGGGACACATCTCCGAAAATGTTAACAGTAAAAATAGCTTTATATTTGAAAATGATAGAACGGAACCCACCTCATTTCAGCGAAGCGGTTATTCATAAGGATGAATCCTTGTTCATTGTCACAAATGGTTCGAGCAACTATCTCACCACCTTCTTCGTACACTGACAATCTCCCAGCCTTCACATTGCTTCCGAGTCTGAAACAATTAGCTTTTAATCCCTTGAACATTCTTCTAATATATACAATCAAATCTTTGATGCGTATATAACGGCAAGCTTCGAAAAAGAGCTTGCTTTCTATGAAAGGATTAGGACAATACCTGGGATATGAGGCTACAGGATCTTGTAACGACTTGCAGCTCCCAAAGTCATAAGAATCTGCTGTAACTCCCTGAAACATGGAAAATTAAATTGGAAATTCAGTTAAGTATGTTTGTTGAAGATATAATATAGAACTTTAATACATTTTGTTAGTTCATTGCCAATACGAACTTTGGATGTTCGTATTGGCAATTACGTTATGTATGTACGAATTCATTTAGTTTAATCATTTGTTTTATTTGGACGCTATTAACTGAATTTTTGCAAACTTGAAATACAAATTACAATAATAATATGTGTGACTTACCGCAACCCAAATCAAAAAGAAAATGTATTCCTTCATGGGCACAATACGGTGTACCTTGACGCGAGTTAGTGATCAATTTTCTCGACAGAAGTTTTTTTGTACCACTATATATACTAAAATGGACAGTAAATTAATTTCAAATATGAAAATAAGTTTTTGTTTATAAATTATAATAAAAAGTACTGCAAAAATGTGTAAATATGGAATTTGAGCAGGATTTGAAACGAATACTAAATTGTCAAAATAAAAATGTAAACGAAGTGGTTCAAATAATTGTGCAAAAAGGAAAAATAAGAAAAGATAAGGAAATAAGGAAAAGGAAAGGAACGTAAAGTATTAATGGATAAATAAGAGTTCAGGAATTGGTTTTTCGATATAGTGCCGCGACGAAAACTGACACCTCACTATGCGTGTACTCTCAAAGTTTCACTTTCAACAGGAAAGGTAGTCTATGTATAATTAGCGCCATGAGTTGGCACAGACTAATATAAGGTAATATTGCCATGAACGAACAGCCCTCGTGTGAACACCCTAGGTATTACCAATTACTATTACTATTATGTTCTGAGCGCCGCCCAGTAAAGACAAAGTTGGGCGAGTTGTATCAGTTTGGCGCTCCTACTAAATCGGCCTCGATACGACGATACTGCTTATTTTTATAAAATAATACTGAGAAAACTGCTCGCCCAAAAATTTCACGTGACTTTGGTTTTTATGGTTTTACAGCCGTACAAAACGGTTTTAAATAAACCCTAATCCCAACCCTAACCCTAACCATAACCCGAAGCTATCCATAACCCTTACCACAACCCTAACCCTAACCCGAGCCCTAAACAATCGAATTCATGTTTTACTAGCCTGTCACGTGACCAAAACGGTTTTTTGCCTATAACTCTCCAGGGAAGCATTTTTACCCTACGACATGGGGGGTGATTCGGAATCAGCGTCAAAAAATACACCGATTTAGATCAATTTCATACCCGAAGGGCCTTTTCACAAGAATTTTCTTAAAATTTAGGCGAGCGATTTAGTAGGAGCGCGCGGAAAACTGCAGCACACAAGGTTTCTGGCGAACTTTAAAACTGATCCCATAATTCACTAGGAGCTAGACTAACAACTTAAGCTTACTTAAACTAACTTGAGCTAGGCTAACAGTAACAACTTGAGCTTACAGGGACCGGATGACGAAACAATGGAAAATGACCGAAATGCCCCGGTGCCCGGAGCATCGTTGTTTCTGCTACTCTTAGCCTTTTCGTTACATTCGTTTTATCGTTTTAAAGTTTATTGTGTGATAAAATTAAGCCCCAGAATCCTCTTCTTTCTTACAGTTACAGGGGCGCCTAGTCGCTCATTCGATTGTTATACTAAAATTATAGATGCCGGGATTTATTTCAAACGTATACTGCAACGTTGCGAGTGTATTCAAGTTGTTACTTACCTGGGGACCCCAGGCTATTATAATCATAGATGACAGGCGGAATGACAGGCTGAGCGCCGCCCAGTAAGTCGTTACCTTTTATCTTTTTTTGAATATTAAGTATGGCAATGGAGTAGAGTACAACTACAACGCTTTGTTCTAAAATCTGGGTACCGGTAAAGGCTAGAGAATGGTCGATAGTACTAGTAGTAGTAGCATTAACTTAACTCTCAATAAGTAGGAATATGAATTGATAAAGGACACCTATGACCTGATGAACCTAGGTACTTTATTAGTTCAATATAATAGGGAAAATTAGACACAATATGTCACTTTTTTTAGGGTCAAGGGTTAAGATGCCTCAAAAATAAAATCAAAAGAATACAAATACATTCAGTTATGTTCCCAACAACACATTGTTTTGTGTGTTAGTGTTACGGTTAACAAACAGAACTCAATGATAACCCTATTATATAGGAGGATACTAAGAGGATCGCAATAAAACTCAACTCTTCAAAAAGGTTAATAAACAGGTCATTGAAATTTTGATCGTTCAGCTAATAGTGATAATAATTAATAATAATTGTAATTAATTAATTGATTGTAATTAAAAGTAATAATTGATAATACCATTTTTTCACGAACATAACCAGTGTTCACTCAAAATACAAGTATTATAACGCAGCAGAAGTGTACAACAATTTCACTACATGATCCCCTCTCTTCCTTTGATCAGTCTGGAGCAGGGCAGACAATTCTGAAGTAGACACCACGGCCTGCACCTTTATTATTGAACTTGAAGTCTCAGTCTATGAGCAGCATTCATGTTCTGAACCTTAATATGACAGGCTGTAAATTCTCTGTGTTTTTCTTTTGCTGTTTCCCGATGGGGGGGGGGGGGGGGGGGGGTCAGTCCAACCTTCTTTAGGCTTTCTTAAACCCATTATTGCGTCGTGCACTTACTTATACTATCCTGTATCGACCGACCACCACTGCTAAATCAACAGCCACAAACCACTGCACCGACTGATCAGTCTCAGTGATCACGTTTTCACTGTGAAAATATTTAAAACTCAACTGCTTGAGCACGTAAACTTCCACTAAAGCTGTTATTAATTTTGTGGTCAATCTGTGAGTGTGATCTGATAGCGTGCAATGTTTTAACTAGCAGTAGTGTCTGAATCCTATTGTTAGTAATGCTTTATTCTAAAACAAGAACGTCTGAGATTCGCAGTTATACTTTTAGTGCAGTAGTAGTAGTAGTAGTAGAAGTAACTTGTGCGTGATTCTTTTGCAGTTTTTTTAGGACTTTTGTTCACTTTTTTCATGTAGGAATCTTTTCAGTATTGTATTGGCAGCATACTCCTACTGTAACATAATTCATTCTATATCATTACCAAAATATGTGTCACACGTAGAAAATGAGATCGGAGATCAAATTCAACTGAACGACAGATCAGATATCTCATATTTGTAGAAACAAGTCTGGAACCACCAAGTGAAAATAACACATAAACAACACTCCACATCCTTCACTGACAAAAAATGGGTGAATTCGACTCTGATTCCGACTCAGACGACTTGGAGGCCATGTTTCCCGACAGTCCCGGACCGGAGGATGTGATAAAAATAGAACAGACACAGAAATCAGCAAAAGAGAAATCTCGTATCTCCCTAACTCAACCGGCCTCCCTCTCGGGACCAACCATCAGCAAAAAGCTGAAACCGCTGTATATCAGCATGCTGAAGAAGGAGGTATTCATCTTTTCCGCGACAATATCAGGTACACAGTGTATATTATATATATTGTGTGTTAGTTATATATCAAGTATTACTATTAGTAATAGTATATGCCTCTTCATTGTTTATTGGTTTATTCAATTTGAATGGTATTACTTAGTCCTCTTTTTATCCGACCTTTTAATCGACCGATGTGAACTCTATCAGAGGTGAAATCAATATAATCCTGAAACGGTTAAATAAGTGGTGATCATTCCACAAACTATTGTCACTCTCAATATCATCCTGAAACAGTTAAATAAGTGGTGATCATTCCACAAACTATTGTCACTCTCAATATCATCCTGAAACAGTTAAATAAGTGGTGATCATTCCACAAACTATTGTCACTCTCAATATCATCCTGAAACAGTTAAATAAGTGGTGATCATTCCACAAACTATTGTCACTCTCAATATCATCCTGAAACAGTTAAATAAGTGGTGATCATTCCACAAACTATTGTCACTCTCAATATCATCCTGAAACGGTTAAATAAGTGGTGATCATTCCACAAACTATTGTCACTCTCAATTATATCATCCTGAAACGGTTAAATAAGTGGTGATCATTCCACAAACTATTGTCACTCTCAATATCATCCTGAAACGGTTAAATAAGTGGTGATCATTCCACAAACTATTGTCACTCTCAATATCATCCTGAAACAGTTAAATAAGTGGTGATCATTCCACAAACTATTGTCACTCTCAATATCATCCTGAAACAGTTAAATAAGTGGTGATCATTCCACAAACTATTGTCACTCTCAATATCATCCTGAAACAGTTAAATAAGTGGTGATCATGCCACAAACTATTGTCACTCTCAATATCATCCTGAAACAGTTAAATAAGTGGTGATCATTCCACAAACTATTGTCACTCTCAATATCATCCTGAAACAGTTAAATAAGTGGTGATCATTCCACAAACTATTGTTACTCTAAAATACGCCGGCTCTAACCACTCATCCGTACTTCAGACGACAACATGAGAATAATCCCGGATGGTATGAACCTGATAAAAGAAATGAAGTTGGATAAAATGGACTTCAAGACAATGCAGAAACTAGTGGATGAGTATTTAAAAGATCTGCGGAGGGTCACCCCTTTTACAGAGTACAAAAAGCCCAGGTGAGATATTGATCACGTGACATGACCATATGAGAATATAGTGAGGGAGTTTTACTAAAAGCATAAATTGGGGTTTGCGGTAAATCGGGGCGCATTCGCAGGTTATACGACATACGTCTATATCATTGTAGTGTTAGTGAGTTCCTCAGTTCCATCAGATTTAGCTACCTATTTGTTAATATTAATATAACATCGAACATTCGCAGGTACGTATTCGTGAACAATCTCTTGAAGCCCATTCTCATCTCCTTCATACCACATGGGTCAGACTTGGACAAGAAGATGTATTTTGAAGGTAATCTTAAAGTTAATGTAAGGGGACACAATTTGCAATTGTTCTGCATGAATTGCATTGTTTAGTCATTAGTATTGTAGGATCATATTGGGCTGCATTTTAATGGTTAAAACCACGCGACAGAAAAGTTTTCCAAACATCTTCAAGACTAATTCACATTATTACAGGGACAACAATGAGTCTGAAAGCATCCCTAAAGTGCGCTCTCCCGATACAGCACGCCAAAACATACGAAGAGCTAGAGCTTATGATCAAAACAGCGGCTAAACAGTACCGACAGAAACAACTGGAATAGTTACTCTATTAAATTTTAACCGGCAATTGTAGCCAGACATTATCGGCAGAACTATTTGTCAGACTCAGAGACACTATTAGTATTATTTGGGGACAATGTTCGCGTCCCCAAAAATTATCATACCAGGCCACGGTAAGCGGACTGAATTCCTACCGAACAGAATCCCTGCGGTGAACTTCGCAAACTAAAGACAAAAGCTGGTGTGTTTTCACAGACTTTTGATTTCTGTTCAAATTGAAATAGAAGATTCTACACGCTTCTAAATGTTCAATGTTTCAGCCAATATCTTGTACGGTACACGCCTAATTACTGTGAAGTAGGTTGTCACTTTTCGCTCTCTCGAGTGGGAAGAGCATGACGTCACACCACGTGTCATGACGTCACACATATACGAATACCATTCGAAATCTTCCTTTTTTCCGATACGATAGTTAATCGAATACCGTTTGTTGTGTTTTTCACGTAGCAGTTACTGTGACTAGCAACGTTCCGAAGAATGAAGATAGTATTTATATTGAGCGATGTTCCGGAGAATACAGTGCAGGTGGTGTTAGCAAGCAGGATTTCCGATATGCTCAATCTGTTTTGCTTGTTGACTGTTGAGTTCTGTGAATGTTATTACATGTATCATTACTTGTATTGGACAATGCATACAACTTGTTAAAAAATAATAAATTAATGATATGATCAGTAATTACTCGTGTGATACATTATTATGCCTAATTGATATAATTATAAATATGACTTACTGCAAATAATATAGAGATTTAAGGCCCTCAAAAACTTCTTCAACATTCAAGTAGCACTATCAAAGTCCTTGCATAAAACGCAAGTTATAAAGTATTGATGAATTCGACCCAAATACGACCATCCTCAAGAAGGGTTTTAAAACTAAAAATCGTTCAAATCATTGAATACTTTTAAATAAATATTCCCAAAAATCAGGTAAATCAGAAGAAAAACGCGAAAAAAAACCTGAACTATAAGAAAGTTCACTTTTTCCCTTAGAACATAATTTAACATGGACATGCCCGAATGCACTCTGCAAAGTTATATAATAACAACGCAAGTGTCTCTCGTCTAAAAGAACTTCATCACGTTCATTCCTTTTTCAGTGTTTGGTATGGATATCAAACTGCTTGGCTAGCAATCCGAAATCTTGGTGTTCTTCTCCAGCCGCGATCACCTGAATTTATTAGTTTAGAAAATAAATTATGGCTCAAATTTAAAATAAATCATCTATCATGATTCGATCACTCTGTTCGTCGCGTGAATTACTAAGCAAAAATTTGTTGCAATTAATTCTAACATGCAATACAAATTTACGATTAACGGCAGGAATATAATTATACTTTTAAGTAAGCAGACTTCTTTAACTGTTAAAAAAGTCCACCTAGACACAAATTAAGAATTTCGTGGCGCGGCTCTGAACGACATTGGTGTTAAATGTGTTAATTCAGAGCCGCGCAAATTCAGAGTCGCCTCAATTTTGATGTGAAGGACCCCCTGTATAATTCACCACACTAACCTGCCGGGCGATGGGGATCTTGCCGAAAATGTTCCAAGTGAGAACTCCAACCACTTTGTTCTGGTCCATGTAGAACACGATTCCTTGTTCGTACTTCTCGTGTGCCCCCGGGTCAGTTCTGATATCACTCTCTACTCTGGTAACACTGGTCTTAACGTAAAGTACTGGATTCTACCGTAACTATTAGTAGTACTAGTGCTAGCATTGCTTAGGTCATGTTATTAATTAATTAGTTATCAGTGATTAGTAATTAGTAACCAGTAATTATTAATTGGTATAATCGGATAACCACTGTATTAAAACTCCACTCACGTGTCCTTATGAGCCCAAATACCGACAGTAGGTAGAGAAGAATCCACGAGACCTATAGCCTCGTACCCCACGTTAGGCCCTAAATCAGACCAGAACATAGACTGATGGTGGTAGGGTTGGGCAGCTCCGGCCATGTTCCGACCTGCTAGCTTACCACTTACTACCGCGTGGTCGTGGTGCTCTACTCTCCTTCTTCCTGGATAATAGGACGTTACAGTGGGGGGGGGGGGTCGAGGAGAGGGATGTTCCTTGCAAACTGCGCAATCTAACGAGATGATATAAATACAAAACGGGAGAGGGATTTTACTCTTACCTAGAACAGGGTCGTAGAAACAGGCGGCGTCGCCAGCAACAAACAGGTTAGATCGTGCTTCCAACTCTGCGTTTACAACATATCCTCCTATGGTATAATGAGGTTAACTTGAAATCAGGAAGTAATGAGGTTTAAACTTCTAACTACCTTTCTGTAAAACAGAAACTATAAAACATGCCCAGCCACAAGTTTGCAGCACTGACCCATTTCATAGTAAAACAGAAACTATAAAACATGCCCAGCCACAAGTTTGCAGCACTGACCCATTTCATGGTAAAACAGAAACTATAAAACATGCCCAGCCACAAGTTTGCAGCACTGACCCATTTCATAGTAAAACAGAAACTATAAAACATGCCCAGCCACAAGTTTGCAGCACTGACCCATTTCATAGTAAAACAGAAACTATAAAACATGCCCAGCCACAAGTTTGCAGCACTGACCCATTTCATAGTAAAACAGAAACTATAAAACATACCCAGCCACAAGTTTGCAGCACTGACCCATTTTATAGTAAAACAGAAACTATAAAACATGCCCAGCCACAAGTTTGCAGCACTGACCCATTTCATAGTAAAACAGAAACTATAAAACATGCCCAGCCACAAGTTTGCAGCACTGACCCATTTCATGGTAAAACAGAAACTATAAAACATGCCCAGCCACAAGTTTGCAGCACTGACCCATTTCATGGTAAAACAGAAACTATAAAACATGCCCAGCCACAAGTTTGCAGCACTGACCCATTTTATAGTAAAACAGAAACTATAAAACATGCCCAGCCACAAGTTTGCAGCACTGACCCATTTCATGGTAAAACAGAAACTATAAAACATGCCCAGCCACAAGTTTGCAGCACTGACCCATTTCATAGTAAAACAGAAACTATTAAACATGCCCAGCCACAAGTTTGCAGCACTGACCCATTTTATAGTAAAACAGAAACTATAAAACATGCCCAGCCACAAGTTTGCAGCACTGACCCATTTCATAGTAAAACAGAAACTATAAAACATGTCCAGCCACAACTTTGCAGCACTGACCCATTTCATAGTAAAACAGAAACTATAAAACATGCCCAGCCACAAGTTTGCAGCACTGACCCATTTCATAGTAAAACAGAAACTATAAAACATGCCCAGCCACAAGTTTGCAGCACTGACCCATTTCATAGTAAAACAGAAACTATAAAACATGCCCAGCCACAAGTTTGCAGCACTGACCCATTTCATAGTAAAACAGAAACTATAAAACATGCCCAGCCACAAGTTTGCAGCACTGACCCATTTCATAGTAAAACAGAAACTATAAAACATGCCCAGCCACAAGTTTGCAGCACTGACCCATTTCATAGTAAAACAGAAACTATAAAACATGCCCAGCCACAAGTTTGCAGCACTGACCCATTTCATAGTAAAACAGAAACTATAAAACATGCCCAGCCACAAGTTTGCAGCACTGACCCATTTCATAGTAAAACAGAAACTATAAAACATGCCCAGCCACAAGTTTGCAGCACTGACCCATTTCATGGTGAACCTCCAGTCCAGCTGAGTCTCCAAGCTCGGTACTTGGCTCCAAGCCAACTGCAACCAGGATATGATCTACCGTCAGCTCCTCTCCCGTACTCAGCTGTACTTGTACACTGCGGGGGAGGGTGTGAGACTTATTGTTCACCTATTATTACGTTAGTCACATTTTGGATATCTTAGACCTCTTTTGTAAACTATTTTACTCAATATGTGAACGATTCCTTATGTGCTAGAAATTAATAAAGGGTGGACGGGATCAACGCGATGTCGCGATATGACTTATGAGGATTGTACGGCATTTAATTTATTCCTCTGACATACCAGTTCCAGATGTTAAAACTCTATAGCATGTAGTGGATGAGTGGCTAAATCTATAAAGAGAACACAACATGGTTTACTCCGACTGTAATTGTTACAATGTTAAAAGTCTAAGTAGCTTGTGAACGGTCACCTGCTTGACACGTGCGCGCAGTGTGTACATTATCTGGCTTCAAGATATTACATTGGTCAATTTAAACTTTCAGCCTTGTCCAAATTTGATGTGCTGTTGGAAGGGCAAACCCTCATTTCTGAGTGGTAATCACTAATCCCAATAAGAAGAAAAAATTTTTTGTGACCTATGTGAAGCAGATTAGTGGTACATTTGGAACGTCGTGATAATTAAACAGTAAAAGTCCGTTCAGTTCACCAGAAAAATGTACAACTTATTTAAAAATCTCCGGGAGGGTCCTGAGTGGAGCTGCATGTTGGAAAAGGGCGTTTTAAAAGCTATGGATCGGTTATCACATAACCTAGATCTAGTTCAAAACAGTGATCAGTGATTCTGGCATCTTACCAAGAACACTTTGTTTACGGTTTTTAAAAAGCCCGTCGCACCAATGATTATATGTGCGGGTTAAGCACATATTTGTGCTCCAGAATAATAATCGTTTAAACAGCTATGCTTGATTCAAAACGAGAATTAAGAAAGCTCAAGAATACTGGTCAACACGTGACTTTCAGTTTTATAGTTATACTTCTTGGTTTTAGTTATGGGTATTATATCAATTATAATCAAATATTAGATCTCTCATTTAGAAGTTGAACAAAGCCTTCGTGCCCCCTTCGTGCTATGCAGGTTAAAACCAGGATTTTTAAAACAAATTTTTTTAAATTTACCAGGATTGTCTTTTCCTATCTACTTATTATTTCTTATTAATTTTACCCCTCTCCCTCTTGCTTGAACAAGTTAGGCCACAACTAAAACACGTGTAGACTGCACCAGAACCTACCCATTGTCAGTACACTCAGTAGCTACAACTTTAGACTCAGTAGCAGAACCTACCCATTGTCAGTACACTCAGTAGCTACAACTTTAGACTCAGTAGCAGAACCTACCCATCGTCAGTACACTCAGTAGCTACAACTTTAGACTCAGTAGCAGAACCTACCCATTGTCAGTACACTCAGTAGCTACAACTTTAGACTCAGTAGCAGAACCTACCCATTGTCAGTACACTCAGTAGCTACAACTTTAGACTCAGTAGCAGAACCTACCCATTGTCAGTACACTCAGTAGCTACAACTTTAGACTCAGTAGCAGAACCTACCCATTGTCAGTACACTCAGTAGCTACAATTTTAGACTCAGCAGCAGAACCTACCCATTGTCAGTACACTCAGTAGCTACAACTTTAGACTCAGTAGCAGAACCTACCCATTGTCAGTACACTCAGTAGCTACAACTTTAGACTCAGCAGCAGAACCTACCCATTGTCAGTACACTCAGTAGCTACAACTTTAGACTCAGCAGCATAACCTACCCATTGTCAGTACACTCAGTAGCTACAACTTTAGACTCAGCAGCAGAACCTACCCATTGTCAGTACACTCAGTAGCTACAACTTTAGACTCAGCAGCAGAACCTACCCATTGTCAGTACACTCAGTAGCTACAACTTTAGACTCAGCAGCATAACCTACCCATTGTCAGTACACTCAGTAGCTACAACTTTAGACT